AATTAGGGAAAATCAAGATCTATTAAACACAAGTTCACTAACTACTCTGTCTCTATTCCTCATCTTCTGGAGCCATTTCTCCTTGAAGCCTTAATGATCTTTTAAAAATATTAAATTAGACCATATCAATCTCCTGCTCTCAATTATCCTTGGTTTATATCAAAGTCTTTACCATGGCCTGCAAAGTCCAACATGAGCTAGCCCTAGTTACCTTACCAACATTATTTCCAACCAGCATCCCCCTAATTCATTCATATTTAATTAAAATCAGGATGCCAGAATAAGCTTTTAAATATTCATGTTCTGGAACACTCTAACCATATACTCTTCCCTACGATTTTTGTATTTACTGTTCACTCTGTTTGGGATACTCTTCCCTCTAGATTTTTCCTTGATTTGTTCCTTCACTTTATTAGGTCTGCCTCAGTCAGAGTACTGGCAGGCAACAGAATCAACCTCAGTCGTGTCAGATGGAGACACCAATGAAGTGATTTTCACAAAGATATTGTTATGGTTAAGAGAAAAACAAGGAATACTGAAGAATTTGAAGATTATAAACAACAGGAAGCTTGTACCATTGTAGGACTGAAGAAGTAATGTCACTGCAGGGAGAAAGGGAGGCTCCTCAGCAGAAACCAGGGACACAGGAGGAAGCAGAATGTAGTCAGAAATCGGAAAAAGCAGTATCTGGACTTGACTATTCTTTCCTTCTCCATCTGAGATCCTGCTGGTGCTAAACACTGACAGGAGCTATAGCAGAGAGCTCAGGTGAGGCAGACCTCATCAGCCAGCTTTGCTAGGCCACAGCAAGGCAGGGAAGGGCAGAGACGATCTGGTGGGCAACTGCAGAAGGGCCAGGAGAAGGACCCTGCTTCGAAAAGTACTTCAGAAAGCTCTGACCAATCACTCAGCTGATCAATCTACATAAAAGAGTACCCAATGTGTACTCTATCTCCTCACCAACTTTATTTTTCACTATAGCACTAATCACTATCTGACATTTATTTTATTGGTTATTTATTTGCTTTCTCTCCCACTAAGATATAAGCTCTACAAGAGCTGAAATCTGTCATTTTTATTCACTGCTACATCGGTAGAACATAGAATAGCTCTTGGTTTATAGGAAGAGTTTGTCCAATGTTTACTGAATGAATGAATATATTTACTACTCTCTTTGCTATTCAAAAAAATTGATGTTTAATTACAATCAGAATGATCCAATAAATTCTTAAATATCTGTCAGTGAATTATCCACAGACAACCCCTTTCTCTACATTCCAGCCCAAGAAAGAAAATATCTTTCTTGTTGACTTGCTTTGTAGAGCAACACAAATAAATCTAATCTGTCCCCTATGTATTAACAGAATAGCAGAATTTGAGAAAATATTAAAATTCAGTGAGCCTAAACTGCTACTCATTGTTGTTGTTATGTGCCCTCAAGTCAAACCTGACTCATAGCGACCCATTCTTGGGTTTCCGAGGCAGTATCACTACAGAAGTAGATTGCCCAACCTTCCTGCCGATCAGTACATGACAATTCTCTACAGTGACCCTAAGTATTAAGGAGTAAAAAAGAAATGTAACACATTTTCTAGAGACCAAAAGTTCTCTAATTATAAAAAATCACAAGTGTGCATGTGTTTTTAGCTATAATATTTAATTTATTAAAATATTTTAATGATGTTAATAGAGGGCATGAGTTGTTTTTGTTTTTATCATTCAAAATGGTGCAAGAGTTAATAAAAATTGGTAGGAAGGACTCCAATAAGTTCTTATCTATCTTTTTCCCAGTCACTGCAGTGATAGGGAACTCACTAGCTGGGCACTTTCAAGCAGCTCTGATTTTATTATTATTATTATTATTATTATTATTGTGATTTTGTGAAAGTTTACAGAGCAAATTCATTTGCCTTACAGCAGTTAACATACACTTTGTCTCATGACATTGACTGAAATTCCCCACAATGCAACAGCAGCTTTGATTTTTTTAAATTTACTGTATCTTCCTTAAGTCATATTTTTTTCTTCCAGATCAAATATCCTCAGTTCATTAAAGCACGCCATCAGCCATTTTTTGGGGAAATTTTATCATCTTAGATGCTGTCCTTTACACATGAACCAGTCCATCAGCTTTCTCCTTAAAGTCTAGGTTAGAATCCAGAACATAATTCCTCAGCCTTAATATGGCCAGTGGAGCACCTTGGTTGTCTATCTGTATACTATATTGCCATTAATACAACTTGAGAATATATCAGTGCTTTTTGTCATTGTTGCTGTTTCCCACAGCCACAATACAGTTTTTTCCTTTTTTTTTTTTTTTTTTAATTAGGATTTGGGTGAAGATTTACAGAGTAAATTCACTTTTCATACAGCAGTT